TGGAAACAAAGTCTTTGTAAATAGGGAGGGATGGAGGGGTTGAAGGAAGGGCAGGGGAAGGGGGAAAAATAAGAACCAAGAGAGATTATGTAAAGGTGCCAATTTCCAATGGTGAATGTCCTTATATTGTGTACCTAAAATGTACCAATAAAATTAATTTTTAAAATTCTGCAAATACATAAAGATCTCTTGACATCACTCCTTTCTGTGGAAAGGCAGAAGAGTCCATAGCTACAAGAAACGGAAATGCAGGCAGGAGATCATTATGTGCCAAAGCATAGGAAGCTGGTAAACAAGAGTGAGATGGGGCAGGCAAAATCATTGTGGCTTTGGAAAATATGTTCAGCTTTTTTATTCGAAGAATTTATATCACCCCAAAGCATTCCATTCCTGAATTATTTTAGCAGCTGAGTATTGGAGAATAATAAACAAATCTTTAAAAATTACTAAGTTATGAAATCAAAATCATTATCCCAGAAAAGCAATGTCTCAATAGAAAACAGATTTTACAGTGTTATTCTGGAGGGCTATAGGAGATAACAGATTTGCAGTATTATTCTCAAGGGATATGGGAGTGGGTGTTAGAGACACAAAAGTTCATTAACAAACGTGTTTTTTAAAATTTCCTAACCAACTTTAAGAGAAAGAATCATCCTTACTAAGTGCATCTATGAACAGTAGAAATATAACTGCCAAAAATCAGCATTGGTTAGTTTTTCTCTTAGAGGTTTCCAATAGATACCTATAAAATATCTGCAGTCCTTTATAAAGAGATCGTAACTAGATTCTCATACTTAAAACTGATTTGTTTATTTGGTAATCATTCAGGGGCTGGAAGAAGTCCTATCACACATACATACTTGAGCACCAAATTTATCATAAGTAGCTTTGACTTGGCTTATAACCTCAACTGTTAGAGGCATGCAAAATTGTCTTATCTCATCTTGACCTAAGAAGTGGTACTGCTCACTGCCTGCATGGCTATTAGCCAAGCACAGCACCCAGAAGAGACTTTAGAAGGAAGAGCCTCCTCGGCTTGCCTCTCTCCAGAATGAACATACTGTTTTGCTTGCTGTGGCCTGCCACAGTATTCAGCATTACCTCTCCCTTCCCTCTTCTGCTCAATTAAAAATTCAATTTGACCAATGACAATTTCAGATACATTATAAGCAACAGGAATTCGGTTCATCAGAAATCTGCCTTTTTATTCCTTTCTCATTGTATAATTTTGCAAAATAACTCCCAACCAGAAAATGACTTCAACCTGCTGCCTGAAGTGTACATTTATTTGTTCACTGGCACAAGGAGAAAACTGAGCTATGTCAAACAAGATATATGCACACATTCCTGGAAAGATCATTTTAGAACCAGTCTCAAAGCAGACTAATTCAGAAATCCCCCTGCTACTTAGACCCACGTGGAGATGTCACCAGCCTTGTGAAATGTCATCAAATAATTGAGTTTTGCTAGTGGTGAAAGTGATTCCAGTTGCATTGGCTTCCTTGCTGAGAGAGGGAGGAGGAGGGAGCAGTTTATTAGAAATAACATGAGGAAGGGTGCAATAAAAGTGGACATGCACAAGCCACAGCTATTGATTGCAAATCTGACAAGGCTGCAGGCCATTCTCATTGCAGGCAGGGCACCTCAGGGCCCGGTAGGACTCCTTAAATCTGTTGGCCAACATGGAGAACTTGCTGCCGTGGCACAGAGAGCAGGTGGCACTGCCAGACCCTCGGCAGTGGAAACAGTTGTCTTCAGGAAGCTCCCCATCCTGCAAAAGACAGGTCAGGGTTTAGTCAGAGCAGCAGCTCAAGTCCATTGTTCATGTGTAGATCAATATAGCACTGGGTCAGTGCAAAGTGTAGGACAAAATTAGAGAAAAATGCTTCCCCCAAATGCCAGTGAGGAAATTGGCTGGGACACAAAATAATCACAGTTACTTTATCAGAGAGGATTTCTCTGATAAACATCGGTAAGATAGCATCCTCTACTGGCACATCTAGCATTCTGAAACTTCACATTCTTCATTGCCCTTGTTACCATTTGACATGTTATGTCTGTAAGTTCCATTAGGGCAAAGATTTTATCTTCCTCATTGCCAAATACTATTAGTGAACACTTGTAGCATCCTTGGTAGGTGCCAGGTTGTTCAAAGAGCTTCCAGATATCAATTCATCTAATCCTCAGTTTCCCGGTGAGATGGTATGAGTGCTATCACCCCTGTGTTACACATAGGTAAATGAGGTACTGAGAAGCTAATTGCTAATGCTACACACACAGTATGGAAGATGAGGAGATAGATTATGATCTCAGGAGACTGAGCACCAGCATTCATGCTCCTAATTCATGCTCCTAATGTACATAATGGATGAATGAATGAATGAATGAATTACCCTTCAAAACCTAGCTCTGAAATATGAAATATTTTATTCTCTTTGAGAACTGTGTAAAGCCCAGTGATCAAGAGCTCTGTGCTCTGGAGCCAATGGACTGGGACTGCAGCTGATGTCTGAGGTAGGTTGCACAATTTGGACAATCCCCTTAGCCTCTCCTCATCTGCATCTCTACTTGTGAAATGGAAATGATAATACTTACACTTCTGAGTAGCTGGGATATTAAATTGGAGAAAATATATGTAAATGCAGTGTTCTCTGGCTTATCACATGTTCCTCATAGAATTCAGTTCCATTTTAAGCCTTGCCAATAAGTCTCTAGTCCTTGACTCTCACTCTCTAGAAAATGCCCCTTGCCTATTGTCTTCTTTTTGCTGAAGGCATCTCAATGAAACTGCCAGTTTCACACTCCTTATAAACCATGAGTCTCCCAAGAAATAAGGTTGACACCAGATCAATACCAGGTGAGTGCAGTACCAAGCCCTGTGCATTTCATCTTCTAAACATCTTCTCAAGTCCATCCTTTTCTCTCCATCCTCCACCCACAGTCCTAGGCCAGATGCCCACCTACTCTGACCTTGAATGCAGCCTGTTGTGGGATCTTCTGCCCACGGATACCAGTATCATTAAGTGCTCTACAGTAATGGAAAGTATTCAGGAAACCTCTCAATGAACACTTGTCCTGTACGTAAAACCTTAGGATGAAACTGAGTCTCCTTAGCTGATTTAAGTTTTCATCACTGTCTTCATTAAGCTCTTGTCTTTGGGCTTCTCTGTACTTGGTCTCCAGAGACACTTCCCTACCCCCAGCCCAGCCAACTCCTACTACTTCCCAGATGTTAGCTGAGCAGCTCCGCCTCCAGGAAGCCAGGCCTCTGCACCAGGAGCCCCACCCAGCATGCCCATCTCCTCTCTACTCTATCAAACTCTCCTGCTGGCTAGACAGAGTGCTCCCTGGCTAGGACCTTTTCACCACTGCTTCCTGAACATCTAACACAGTGCCTGCCACAATATTTGTTGTTCACAAGGATGTGCAGAAAACCATCTTTGTTCTTAAACTCTAGGAGCAAGTACTAGGCTTCTAGAAATAAGTAAGTTAAGCTGAAACAACTTGATGGCAAAAACTCCACAGGGCTTGTTTTCCAAAGAAAAGTATTGTTTAGAGGAATAAACTGAACTTCTTAGGAATACTGCAATGCTAATTGAAGAATAATTTGAAACAAGGCTTGTGAGTGGGGCTGGAGTGCCCAGGTCATCTGTTTTAAGAGGTAACAAATACAAATAACTTTAAAAAGTAAAAAAAAAAAAGAAGTTACTAGGAAAATTGGAAAATATTGTAAGATGATTGATAGTCAAGATGCCAATGCTTATTGTATGAAGCTAAAGCAGTGCTTAAAAAGTAAAAAAAAAAAAAAAAAAAAAAATTCATCTGGTGTCAATTGGATAGCTCCACCCAGCTAACACACCTTTGATTTATAACCTAAGAATGAAAAAAAATGTCTGAAAAGGGAGGCGTGAGTTTCAAAAATGGCTCCATCATGTTGCAAAATGCTTAGGAAGGTATTGCGTTTCATTTACACTAGAATTAGGGAATAGAAGTGATCACTCAATTGGCAAGAAATTCATATTATGTCTGTGTACTCATTTGTTAATATTTTATTGATTGTTGCCATATTTAACACATTAACAATGGAGAAATTTCTTTTCTTAAAGTATTCAAAATAAATGTATTTGCCAAAATATTCTTAAAGCAAATTGCCATGATCCATTTTTCTGCCAAATCCAGTATGTTTTATGTTTTGTGTTTGATTCCAGTGAGATATTAATGATATAAATCAATATTGTCCAAGAAAGTACAATAAACACTACTATAAGGCTATACATGTAAGCCAAAAATTCATTTGCAAAGAATGCCAGGTCAGATATTGTGAAGTAACCTGATGAGCCTTATTATAGAGAACAAAAACAAATTTTCAGTCAAATGGCATCTAATGTCACATAGTTCTAGGGTATATTATTAGAGATTTCACTGGAGTTTCCATTCTTGTCCACGTTTTCTCAAATCACTTACCCTCAACATGCTCTCATTAATCATTTCATTAATTGAACAAGTATTCAAAGAGACCCCTTCTGTACAAGGCATAAAAAATATAAGCCTCTTTCTTCCCTTCTCGGTGTTTTCTAAAATTTTTCTCAGGAAATATTTAGTGGAAGGATATAGAATATAGCCACACAGCAAAGCTTAGGTTCTAGAACCCAGACAACCCAAACTACCTCTTACTGGCCCCATAACCAAAGAGGGATGTTAGCATTCATCACAGATTCAAAAGCTTATGTAGCCCATCTGGAGACTGTAAAGCTGTAGATATGATCTTGAGTCTGGTAAACAAATGGAGGTGTAAACTTCTAGCAAGTTACTGAACTTCTCTGAGCCTCAGTTTCCCCAGCCACAGACTGAGAAAATTAGTAATACCTGCTTCACAGGGCCCTTGTGAGAATAAAATGGACTATTGCATGAAATGCACTGGTTATGATACCTAGCTATTGTGAACCCTTAATACATGGCAGCTATTGTTTTAGTATATGTGCTGCCGAAGAGAGCACTAGCTATTGTTGTTATTATCATCATCATCATTATTATTATTATTATCTGAAAGGTGAGATCACATAAAGCATAACAAAGGACAGATGATTTATAGCCTCAAATCCACTGAGTTCAAAGCCAGATATTTTTCCCCATGCACATTTTACTGTGGCCCAATTCAATTATTCTTCTCCATTTCTTTGTAGTTGATGTAGAGGTTCAAGCATGTCCTGGCTTTCAGCCTTGCCCTGCTCTTTCATCAGGCTCTTGCTGTGTCTGGATTCTGTAGAACAGAACAAAGAATCTCTCTGTCAGAGGGGCTCCTTGATTTTCTTTGACCCTCTCTTTTGGAATAAAACTTGTCTGGGCATTTATTGCATGAGGGATCAGACAAACAAATAGCAATTTAAAACAGAGTTTAAAGGACAGACAAGTGAAGTATAACCTTTCTTGGAAGCCTTCTCCTGAGCAGCTCTGTCCTAGTTTACAGCACTACAGCTAAAAACACAGATCCCTCCAATTGAATTTAAAAGTAATTGTCCTATCAGGCTTGCTGTTGCTTCTTCATTCAGGTCTGCAGTGTGACTTGCATTTTACCATTTTTGGCCCTCTTCGGAAAATGTGTGCTCCTACAGGTTACAATACGGTAGGAGAAGTGATGCAATTAAAGAATTTTAAGGAAGGAAAATAATGCTTCAGATCACAATGTTCATCTGCCTGCTGTTATACTAGGTTCTTAATAATTCTGCATAGAAGGCAATAGAAAACAATAGCAGAGTACTTCGTACCAGCTGGTACCTTGGTCTCAAATACTAATATTCTTCCCACAAACATTTAACTAATATTTACTGAGCATCTATTATATGCTGAACTCTGTTTTTCTTGGTACTAGAACTACAGTGTTGCATCCAATACAAACATGGCCCCTGCCCTGACAGAGACCAAATTCTAGCAGGGAAGATCAATCATTAACCAAATAACCACACAAATGAAAGATAACAACTGTGAGGAGAGGGGCAGAGTCCCCTGACTGGCCCAGCCCAGAAGATTTTATCCTCATAGAAGCCAAGGAAGACCCTTCTGAGGAGTTTAGGCACCCACTTGACATCTGGTGCAGAAAGCAAAAGAATCTGGCAGAGAACCTAGGAACACTTCCAGGCAGAGGGGATTTGCATAGGAAAAAGCAAAAACAAAAAATACGAGGGACTGAAAGATGCACAGTGTGTCTGGGGCAGAGAACAGGAGGAGAGATGTACAAGAGACAAGGCTGGAGAGGCCAGCAGAGCTTTCTAGAAGAAATTAGGACTTCTGGTTTTATCCTGTGGCAATTAAGCTTACTTGTCAACTTGATTAGCTTGGGAGTGGCCTAGGAGATTAGTAAAGTACACTTCTGGGTGTGTCTAGGTGGGTTATACAGGTGTGACCTTGTCTGCTCCAGTATAGGTCCTTGGTCCCTTCTTCTCTGGCACTGTTCACCTGCTCTGTTTCCTGACCACCATGAACTAAGCAGCTTTGATCTGTTATACCCTTCTGCCATAATATTCCTGACTTGTAGCCAAATGGCCATGGATTACATCTTTTATAAATATAAATAAGCCTCTCCTCCTTTAAGTTGTATGTGTCAGGTGTTTCATTCAGTGACAAAGAAATGTCCAATAAAAAAGAAGACATTAAAAGCTTTGAGGAGTGAGTGGTATAAGAAGGGGTGATGGAAAAGGATAGAAGGGAATGGGATTAATATGAGAAAATGGAAAAATAGCAACAAAATCTTTGTAAATAGGGAGGAATGAAGGG